CCAAAATATTTAGGGGTTATGACACCCGCTGTAGAATTATCAAAACTTCATCTATTCCAAGTTCTCATCTACTAACAATAATTTATCCAACCAACCTTTGATGAGCAGCGGCTATGCGCCGAAACACTGTTACAGGAGCTGCAGGGGAATAAGCTCAATACTGTCTCTACAGAGTTAATCATTTCATATACGGATAGGACAAGTAGACACACAGTAGGCTACAAGTGTCATTAAAAAAAAAACAAAATAGGGCCGGGCGCGGTGGCTCAAGCCTGTAATCCCAGCACTTTGGGAGGCCGAGACGGGCGGATCACAAGGTCAGGAGATCGAGACCATCCTGGTGAACACCGTGAAACCCTGTCTCTACTAAAAAATACAAAAAACTAGCCGGGCGAGGTGGCGGGCGCCTGTAGTCCCAGCTACTCGGGAGGCTGAGGCAGGAGAATGGCGTAAACCTGGGAGGCGGAGCTTGCAGTGAGCTGAGATCCGGCCACTGCACTCCAGCCTGGGTGACAGAGCGAGACTCCGCCTCAAAAAAAAAAAAAAAAAAAAAGGCAGGCCGGGCATAGTGGCTGACACCTGCAATCCAGCACTTTGGGAGGCTGAGGCGGACGGATCACCTGATGCCGGGAGTTCGAGACCAGCCTGACTAACATGGAGAAACCCCGTCTCTAGACGTGATGGTGCGTGCCTGTAATCCCAGCTACTTGGGAGGCTGAGGCAGGAGAACTGCTTGAATTTGGGAGGCGGAGGCTGCAGTGAGCCGAGATTGTACCATTGCACTCCAGCCAGGGCACTAAGAACAAAACTCCTTCTCCAAAAAAGAAAAACAAAATGTCACAAAAGTATCAAAAGTAAACACATTTTTTTAAAGGACACCTAGCTATAAATTGTAATTTAAGTCAGCATATGCACAACCAGCAATCCTAAATATTATTTGCTAGGCCTTCAAATAGGATTTACTGCCCTGCCAAAATGTCTCAGCTCTAACCAGAAAAAACTTCTCCAACGGGTGTATGCAATCCAGTCTCCATGTTTCAATTACCGGCTCTGGGTACAAAGACGAACATGTGATTTCTTAAGGTAAAAAATGTTACTATAAAACACGTACTAGGCCTGGCGAGGTGGCTTGCGCCTGTAGTCCCAGCACTTTGGGAGGCCAAGGTGGGCGGATCACGAGGTCAGGAGTTCAAGACCAGCCTGGCCAACATGGTGAAACACCAACTCTACTAAAAATACAAACATTAGCCAGGCGCGCTGGTGGGTGCCTGTAATCCCAGCTGCTATGGAGGCTGAGGCAGGAGAATCTCTTGAGCCCGGGAGGTGGAGCTTGCAGTGAGCCAAGATTGCACCATTGCACTCCAGCCTAGGCGACAGAGCAAGACTCTGTCTCAAACAAACAAACAAACAAAAAAAAAGATGCATTAAAAATTAGGTTGGGAAGAATTTACATGTATTCCTTTCTACATATAAGACATAAATATCGGACACTTGATTCATTCCCTTCATTCTCTAGCCAGCCTCCCAGGGCAAGTCTGGCAATGATTCTGACTATCGGGCAAAAGAAATTACTTTTTCAGTTTATGTTAGGACAATCTACATGGGTTTACATTTGGCTTAATATAATACTACCCTACTTCTCCAATAAGTATTTAAGCACTTATTTAAAAAAACAGAAACTTTGCAATTTAACCACTTCTACTACCCTAGTTTCTCTGAGAAAGACATGACACAACTCACTTCAAGGAAAAAAGGGTACTTTTTCATCACAAGTATTTCCTCATAAACTTTATTTTTTAAATGTTTTTAAAACCAGATTCTAATTAATCTAGATTTGCAAAATTATAAAGGAAAGTCTTGCCAGTTGTTGTTTCGGTTAATTTCACAATTTAGTAAATTGCAACCACGTATTTAATACAAAGTAGACTTTGCGGTGGGGGCAGGGGGCGGGGGTGTTTAACAAAATGCACCAGCCTAGAGAAACGTTTCTGTGTGAAAACATAAGAGGGGTTACCATGGAGAAATTCACTACGGATTTCAGGAGGGCTTTTTCCTCAGAAATAAGAGTGAAAAGAAAAAGTCGCTGTGTAAGAAATCTGATACCGACGCTGTGTGACAGAAGTCGGTCCAAAAGTTCATCTTCGGCAATTATGTCTAGATGATCAACTACACATCTTCTGCAACAGGTGACACGAAACTGCATTCCCTAAGCAAGGCAAAGCGATCAAATGAGTTAAGACGCGCGTTCCTGCGGTCTTATACTTTTATTTTTGATTTAACCAAAACAATTTTGAATCGGATGAATTACCAAATTTGGTTGGGTCTTGTTTGGCTTTCTGCTTTGCTTTTTAATCAGCCATTTACCAGCAGCTGTTGCACGGGCCCATTAGCACTCGAATAATAAAAACACGCAGTACCAGATAAGGTTCCCCTACTAACCCAAATGATCCGTTTCCTTAACACAATTTAAAAACCACAGCTAGGGGTGTGAAAACAGGCATGTTTTTGTGTGTTTGTATGCCACAATCTGTCCAAATCCTTAACTCCCTTTTAAGGAACACATATATAATAAAAATCCGAAAGGAACCACATTAGAAATGCAAGGAGGTTTGCAAAACAAGAGGCTTCTTTCATTCCGGAAAACCACACCAAAACAAGGGGAGAAAAATGAATGCAAAGGATATGTGTTTGCCAAAGTTTCAATCCTGCTCGGTGGAGACACTGCACACGGCACAAATTTTGAGGAGGAAAAAGAGGGGTTGGCAGGGGGGCGGGGGGGGGGCAGCGAGAGAGCGCGGCCTGCAAACTGCAACAATGCAATCTCCACTTTGAACAATGCGCCTCTTTCCCCTCGTATTTCCCCCTCTGCTTAGGGGTCGGCGGGGTTGGCGGGAGATCGGAGCAGGGTGCACACCACATAAGTGAGCAAGCGGGGAGGGCAGAGGAGGTGAGGAAGGAGTCTGCAGCAACTGAGCTGCGTGGGTACCTGGAGTGCTGCTGTAGGTACTACAGCTCCTGAAGCTCCTTTCCGTGTAGTATCTGGCGTCCTCGTCGTCGTCTTCCAGCTCCTCTCGATAATCGGAGTCATCGTCGTGCACCACTTTGTTGACCACGCTCCGGGCCGCGGTGGTCCGGGCTAGGTGGCTGCTCCCGCCTCCTCGCCCCCGCCCCTCGCCCGCCCGGGTCGCTGGTGCTAGCGCCGGGGCCGGGCGGCGGCGACTTCCTCCGGCTACTGCTGCCTACCCTGGGCGAGCTCAGCCGCGTCTTGGGCACCACCTCAGCCTGGCGGCTGCCCACCTGCCCCGGCTGCTACCGTGTAGCGGCGAGCGGAGCCTCCGGATGGGTCCGGACATGGGCGGCGGCGGCGGGGCCGGGGCGCAGCGCTCCGCAGCGGGAGCCGCGGGATGCTTGGTCGGCCTGCCCCACCGGCCCCTCTTGTTGGAGCCTGAGGCGGGGGAAGAAGGGAAAGTGGACGGGGAGGTCCTGGCGCAGTGGGGACGGTGGGGAGCGCCGGGGCCGGGCGGGAGGGGCCCGGCCGGCGGAAGCGGGTGGAGGGAGGAGGCTCAACCGAATTGCTGGGGCCCCACTCCGGATTGCCTTCAACCGCCATCTTATTTCTTCCCGCTACTGGAGCGACGTCACGGGAGCTGCGACGTCACGGGAGCTGCGCCGCCGACGAGCCTGGGAAGGGGCGAGGTGGCGCGGCGGCCGCTAGGGGGAGCGCGGGAACATTGAGTCGGGAGCGGAGAGCCAGGGGCACCTGGGCTCAGCGCAGCGCGGCGCGGCTGGACTCCGAGCGCGGATGGCGCGGCTGAGAGAGGCCAGCAGCTCGCTACACGCCCCGCGTCTAAGGCTTTCGGAGACCACAGTCTCTGCGGACCCCTGGCTGGAGCCCAAAGCTAGCCGGACTTCCCTCCCGCGGCTCCGCTTCCGCGACTCCGACAGGAAGGTAGGAGAGCCCCCAAATATCATTCCCCCCCCGCCCTCTAGGGAAACAGCCAGAGAAAGGAAAAAAAAAGTCGCGGATGGGGGCGGCCCGAGCGACCTAAGGGACGGGGCAGCGCCAGCGACCGAGGGAAATTAGTCGGGGTCGGGGGACAGGGAGATAAACCCCCAGAATTTAGGAAACTGCGAGGCTTGGAGCTGGAGTCCTGAAATTGACTCAGATGACAACTGTTCCGGATCTGTGCCGGGAGCCACGCTCCCGGATGCCCCGCCCGGAGGGAGGGGGGCCCTAAAACCTGTTGCGCGGAATCCCCACTCCGAAAGCCTCAGTAAACTCCAGAAAGCAGCTGCTGCATGTTCCAATCTCCCGCCACCTTCCCAGTGTCCCAGCTAGGACCCCGACCACCTAAGCAAGAACTTACCTCTCTTTTGCAGTGGAAAAGAGGGAATCCTGCCTAAAACCTACTTCACGGTGTTATAGGTTTGTATTATTGGGAAATAACCTTTATTTATTTACTTGAGAAGTCACTAGGTTTGAGCTTAGCCCAGGGTACATATCATGATGACATTTCAGGCACCCTCAAACCTTATCACAGGGACTCAACTCTGAGTGGTTGAAGTCAGCTCTTCAGATAAGAGAAAGATTTTATAGACTTTAATATTTATTGAGATAAATATTAAAGTAATTAAAAAATAGTTGGCCGGACGCAATAGCTCACGTCTGCAATGCCAGTCCTTTGAGAGGCCAAGGCTGGACGATAGCTTGAGGTCAGGAGTTCGAGACCAGCCTGGGCAAGATAACAGGACCTCGTCTCTAGAAAAAAACTGAAAAATTAGCCGGGCATGGTGGTGCGCACCTGCGGTCCCAGCTACGCGAGAGGGTGAGGGGGGAGGATCGCTTGAGCCTGGGAGGTGGATGTTGCACTGAGCCGTGATTGCACCGCTGCACTCCAGCCTCAGTGACAGAGCAAGACCCTGTCTCAAAATTTTTTAAAAAGAAAGAAAAATACCTAACAGGATTCTGTATGTCAAATGGCTTATTTCAATCTTATTAGGAAAATGGAACACATACATGAAATGAAAATTAAAATACGAGTACTAATTGCCAAATAAATGCATTCAATACAATTTGGTTGAGCTCTAAGGGTGACAAATGTGTATATGGCTGCAGGGACTAGGTAAGTAATGCAAGTCAGTAAAGTAGACAAGGTGAAGACCTAGGCCAATGGAAATGCCATGTTTTGTTTGAAGAGGATGGCCAGGTGCGGTGGCTCAGGCCTGAAATCCCCACACTTTAGGAAGCCAGATGGACGGATCGCTTGAGCCCAGAATTTCGAGATAAGCCTGGCCAACATAGTGAAACCCCGTCTCTACTAAAAACACAAAAATTAGCCGGGCGCTAATTTTTATTAGCATGCGCCCATAGTCCTAGCTACTCAGGAGGCTGAGGCAGGAGAATCGCTTGAACCTGGGAGGCAGAGGTTGTGGTGAACCGAGCGAGACTCCGTCACCCACCCCCCAAAAAAGAGAAAAGTTAAACAAAACAAAACAGACCAAAAAAACCCCAACTTTTCTTTGAATGGATTAGCAGGTATTTGATGTTTTGCTACTTTATGCTTTAATGAATTTCTCTTTCTGTGGCTTCAAGAAGAAAAATGTTAAGTCAGTAAATACTGTATAGGTTGAGCATCCCTTATCTAAAATGCTTTGGATCAGAAGTGTTTTGGGCTTTGGAATATTTGCATTATACTTACCAGTTGATCATTCCTAATCTGAAAATCTGAAATGCTGTAATGAGCATTTCCTTTGAACAGCATGTTGGCACTCAAAAACTTTTGAATCTTGGAGCATTTTGGATTTCAGGTTTTCAGAATAAGGGTACTCCACCAGTACCCTTTTATTTATCTATGATTTAATATAGCCCTTCTTTCTCAGAATTACTGAGTGACTCATTCCTGTAATGCTACTAAATTTTTATTCATTTTTTATCTTAATAATAATATTTAGGCCGGGCGCGGTGGCTCAAGCCTGTAATCCCAGCACTTTGGGAGGCCGAGACAGGTGGATCACGAGGTCAGGAGATCGAGACCATCCTGGCGAACACGGCGAAACCCCGTCTCTACTAAAAAAAGTACAAAAAACTAACCGGGGCGAGGTGGCGGGAGCCTGGTAGTCCCAGCTACTCGGGAGGCTGAGGCAGGAGAATGGCGTGAACCGGGAGGCGGAGCTTGCAGTGAGCTGGGATCGCGCCACTGCGCTCCAGCCTGGGCCGGCAGAGCGAGACTCCATCTCAAAAAAAAAAAAAAGATAATAATAATAATAATTAACATTTATTGATCACTAATGTGCCCAGGCACTATGGTAGATACCTTATCATTATACCTTTAAGTCCTATAGTGGCCTGCAGGCAGATTTTTATTATATCCTCATTTTACAAGTGAGGTAAATAAAATGTCTTTGAGGCTCAGAGAGCTTGTGTTTTCTCCATGTCCACATATCTTACAAGCAAATGAGCCTATTTAAAGCCAGATCTCCCCTAAAGCCCAGTTCTTTCAGTTCCCTCAGTTTGCCATTGAGGAAACAAGAAAATCAGACTCACTCTCATCAATTGCCTCACACATACTCTTGAATTCCTTTTGAGTGGGAACAGAAATACCATTATATGTGTTCCTCTACGTCCAGTCCTAGACATTAATTTACCTGTTTCTTTTAAGTTAGTGACCATCTGTGTTGAAGTCTTTAACTCCATTAAAAGTGAATGGAACCTTAGGAGGGTTTTAGGCAGGAGAGAAAGCTCCTCTCCAGTTTGAGCTTCAGTTGTCCAGAAGTAAAGAAGAGGGATGAGGTATTATTTGAGATAACTCCTTCAAGAACCAGAATTTAGCAAAGCATTTACACCATTTTGATGAAAATATTTCTAAACTATATTATAAAATTAGCCAGGTATGGCGGCACATGTCTATAGTCCTAGTTACTTGGGAGGCTGAGGTGGGAGAATTGCTTGAGCCTAGGAGTCTGAGTATGCTGTGAGCCATGATGGTGCCACTGCACTCTAACCTGGATGACAAAGTGAGACCCTGTCTCTAAAATAAATTTATTTTATTCTAAAATAATTCCAGGCCGAGTGCGGTGGCTCATGCCTGTAATCCCAGCACTTTAGGAGGCCGAGGTGGGTGGATCACAAGGTCAGGAGATCAAGAACATGTTGGCCAACATGGTGAAAGTCCATCTCTACTAAAAATACAAAAATTAGCTAGGCATGGTGGCACATGCCTGTAGTCCCAGCTACTCTGGAGGCTGAGGCAGGAGAATCACTTGAACCTGGGAGGCGGAGGTTGCAGTGAGCTGGGATTGCGCCTCTGCTCTCCAGCCTGGGTGACGAGTGAAACTCTGTCTCAATAAATAAATAAAATAAAATAATTCTAAATACATTCTGCTCACCATATTGTTACACTGATGATCTTAAAGTTGATTGAGAAGTGGCTGAAACTGGCTTCCACAGAGTACTCTCACGTGGTTCTGAATTTTGAGGTCATCTTTCTTTGTGTCATGTTTTTTAGATGTCCTTTCTCAGAGTCAATCAAGTTTGAGTAAGACCTGCAGGGATCTCTTGTGAGCACATATATTGAGTTTTAGTACATAAGCTTTGTTTTAACTTTTCACTGGGTAGATGAAACTCAGGTAAGTGGCATTATGTCTAATATATAAAATATTTTCCCCCATTTTTAAACAGAGAAGAAGATACAGAAAATGAAAATAAAATTTGGTACTATAGCACAAAGGTCCAGCTTGCAGAATTAATTGACTGTCTAGAGAAAGATTATTGGGAAGCAGAACTCTGCAAAATTCTGGAAGAAATGCGTGAAGAAATCCACCGACACATGGACATAACCGAAGACCTGACTGATAAGGTTCAGGGCAGTAACAAATCCTTTCTGGCGGCAGCTAATGGTGAGAGGGGCATTTTCTCATTTTATTTTTGTTAAGTCTGAGCTAAACTGTTGGTATGAAATCAGTTGGTTTGAAATCAGTTGGTATGAAATGCAAACTTTGGGCTGGGCGCGGTGGCTCAAGCCTGTAATCCCAGCACTTTGGGAGGCCGAGACGGGCGGATCACGAGGTCAGGAGATCGAAACCATCCTGAAACATGCGAAAACACGGTGAACCCCCCGGTCTCTTACTACAAAAATACTAAAAACAGCCCTAAGCCGGGGGCGACGCGGCGGTGGCGCCTGGTATCCCAGCTACTTCGGGAGGGCTGAGGCGTGAGAAATGAGTAAACCCGCGGGGGCGGTGACTTTCAGTGAACGCTGACGACTCCGGGCCACCCCACTACACAGCCGGGCGACAGAGCCAGACTCGGTCAAAATAAAAAAAAAAAAAAAAAAAAAAAAGAAATGACAAACTTTGAAAATAGGATTAAAGTATAGATTAAAAATCCTTTTTTCTTTCTTTTTTTTTTTCTTGTTGTTTTTATGGGACCAGAGTCCTGCTCTGTCGCCCAGGCTGGAGTGCAGTGGCGCAATCTCGGCTCACTGCAACCTCCGCCTCCCGGGTTCATGCTGTTCTCCTGCCTCAGCTTCCCAAGTAGCTGGGACTACAGGCGCCCGCCACCATGTCCGGCTAAATTTTTGTATTTTTAGTAGAGACGGGGTTTCACTGTGTTAGCCAGGATGGTCTCGACCTCCTGACCTCGTGATCCGCCCGCCTCGGCCTCCCTTTTTTGGTTAAGGTACAACGTCAACCTGGTACTAGAGGAGGAAGGATTCACAAGAGTTGAAAACTGATGGGGAAGAGAAGGGAAAACTAACATTTTTGAGTGCCTACTGTGGCCAGGTGCTCAACTAGGTGTTTTACAATTCTTTAATCCTCTCAACAACTTTTTAAGGAGTATATTGGCAATGAATTCAACACTCAGAAGAATTCCCCATTAAAACACCAGTCCACCACCGTTACCTTTATTTGCTCTCTCTGGTAACCAAAATCTTGGCTTTGATAGTCAGTTTGGGACCACCCAGTCCAGGTAAATACCCAAAATAATGTCTAATGGTGTTCTTTAACTTGGAGTTATATGAGATGAAAACAATGGAAACTACTGAGGTTCTGATAATAGCCAAGAATAATTTGTAGCATAACAGGAATTTCAGAATCGTAGTCTGTCCTGATGACTTTGACTTGATGTTAACCTCTCAAACAAAATACTTCATTTCTAATGTATAGCTCTCTGGTTTTTATACACATGCATGTCTACTTTAGGTGAGTTTAATTCTATTTCTGAGAGTTAAATTTTTCTTCTGCATTTTTCCTCAATATTTTATGAAAAAAATTAAATGTACAGAAAGGTTTAAAGAATTATACCGTTACCAGGCTGACCAACATGGCAAAACCCCGTCTGTACTAAAAATACAAAAATTAGCCAGGCCCGGTGGCACACACCTGTAATCCCAGCTACTCAGGAAGCTGAGGCAGGAGAATTGCTTTAACCTAGGAGGTGGAGGTTGCAGTGAGCTGAGATTGCGCCACTGTGCTCCAGCCTGGGCGACAGGGACAGAGTTTGTCTCAAAATAATAATAATAATTATTATTATACAGTAAATACTCATATATTCATTATCTAGATCTGTACTTTACTATATATTTATAGCTAAATATACAGCTTACTATATTTGCTTTATCCTATGCCTGTATGGTAATTAAGTTTCATAATGCTTTATTTTGCTTATTTGAAGGAAGTTTATTTTTAGAAGAAATCTGTCTAAGTAGAGATGGTTTCTAAAACCTGTTAGGTTCATTCTTTGTTTAGTTTTGAAATATTCATGCAAAGTGTAGAATATACATGTTTATAGAATATGCATATTTAGTATAGATCAGATACAACAATTTTCTTTCATCCTTTAATGTTTTTCCCTCTGCTGAACACTGGGTCTATTTTTCTTGTTTTGTTGTTGTTGCTGTTGGTTGTTTTGTTTTGTTTTTGTTTTTTGAGACAGAGTCTCACTGTATCACCCAGGCTGGAGTGCAAGTGGCATGATCTCAGCTCCCTGCAACCTCAGTCTCCTGGGTTTAAGCAATTCTCATGTCTCAGCCTCCCAGGTAGCTGAGATTACAGGTGTGCACCACCACGCCTGGCTAATTTTTGTATTTTTGGTAGAGATGGGGTTTCACCATGTTGGCCAGGCTGGTCTCAAACTTCTAGCCTCAAGTGATTCACCTGCCTCGGCCTTGTGAAGTGCTGGGATTCCAGGCCTGAGCCATTGTACCTGGCCCTATTTTTGGTCTGTTTTTCTTATGGCTATGACTGTCATAGGTTTTTGGACCTAAAAGCAGTATGAATGTGTGTATGTATACACACATATACATACACACATATATACAAGAGTGTTTAGCAAGATAGACTATTTGATATTAGAATCTTTATAGAAAATCAGAGAACTATGGTCATCCAACCTGTGCTTTTCAACCAGTTTAAATGGTCTAAACTTAGTAGGCAATTAAACATTTTTTTTTGTTTGGTTTTCATTAAATGGCCTGGGAAAGTTGGGAGGATATACAATGATTTGGTTAAGAAAAGCTATAGGATACAGCTATGTTTGAAAGACAGCGGGCATGGTGGCTCACACCTGTAATGCTAGCACTTTGGGATGGGTGGATCACTTGAGGTCAGGAGTTTGAGACCAGCCTGGCCAACATAGTGAAACCCTGTCTCTACAGAAAATATAAAAATTAGCCAGGTGTCATCAATGGTGTGCACCTATAGCCCCAGCTACTTGGGAGGCTGAGGTGGGAGAATCTCTTGAACCCGGGAGGTGGAGGTTGCAGTGAGTTGAGATTGTGCCATTGCATTCCAGCCTGGGCAACAGAGCAAGACTCAAAAAAAAAAAAGAAAGAAAAGAGGAAAGCTGTGCCTCTAAGAAAAGCAGATAATCAGTAACTACACTTCTTTTTCCAAATAAAATGTTCTTTAAAATATAGTAATTAAGGGCTGGGCAGCGCTTCACGACTGTAATCCAGTGCTTTGATAGGCCAAGGCAGGGGGGTCGCTTGAGGCTGGAAGTTCAAGACCAGCCTGGGCAACATAGTGAGACTCCATCTCTATTTTTAAAAAGATTAAAAAATTAGCCAGGCAGCTGGGCACAGTAGCTCATGCCTGTAATCCCAGCATTTTGGGAGGCCAACGCGGGCAGATCACGAGGTCGGGGGATCGAGACCATCCTGGCTAACACGGTGAAACCCTATCTCTACTAAAAATACAAAAATTAGCCGGGCATGGTGGCACACGCCTGTCATCCCAGCTACTTGGGAGGCTGAAGCAGGAGAATCACTTGAATCTGGGAGGCGGAGGTTGCAGTGACCTGAGATCATGCCACTGTACTCCAGCCTGGGTGACAGAGCAAGGCTGCATCTCAAAAAAAGAAAAAGGAAATATATTTATATGAAAACATAAGCAAGCAGTTTCAAGAAAACTAGAATGGGAGCAAATATAGCAATTGTCAGTAGCTGGCATCAGAGGAGATTTTGGGTCATTAGCAGGGTGAGAGTGCTGGACAGCTGAAAATGCTGTCCCTACAATAAATTCAAAACCTTCCCATTTAATAACTCCTAGTTCTCTTCATGACTAGAATAAAAAACAAAACAGAATTATCATACTTGTTTCCAAAACATGAAAAACATTTTAAAAGACTTTATTAAATATATCATACCAGATTTTAAAGAGAAGTTTGCTACTTTTATAAAGTAGAGAAGCATTTTAATAGGTCCCTGACTTCAGAATATACTAATGGGGATATATCAGTGATCAAAATAGATAAGATCTGGGACCTTGGTGACTTACATTCCAATGGGCAGTAGACAGACTTAAAAGAGTTGTGACCTTCAGAGAGAATTACCTGCTTCCCTCTGTTTCTGTGGCTCTCTATGCAGTTATTTATTCAGCAGATATTTATTGAGTGCCTACAATGTGCCTGGCAATGTGCTAAACACTTTATGATATCCCTGGACCAAACTCTTACCGCTGTTTACTACCTATGGTCAGTGGATGAGATGCCTTGTTAGAAGAATTGGGGTGGGCCGGGAACGGTGGCCCACGCCTGTAATCCCAGCACCTTGGGAGGCTGAGGCAGGTGGATCACCTGAGGTCAGGAGTTTGAGACCAGCCTGGCCAACATGGCAAAACCCCGTCTCTACTAAAAATACAAAAATTACCTGGGTGTGATGGCAAGCGCCTGTAATCCCAGGTACTTGGGAGGCTGAGGCGGGAAAATCGCTTGAACCTGGAAGGTGGTGGTTGCAGTGAGCCGAGATCGTGCCGCTGCACTTCAGCCTGGGCGACAGAGCGAGACTCTGCCTCAAAAAAAAAAAAAAATTGGGGTGGAAGAATTATTCAAGGCAGATTAACAACAATAGCCATGACAGAAGATATCTTACTTGGTTTTTCTAAACTTTCAGAATGTATTTAGACATCCAACTTAATGATTAAAACTTATCAATAAAAGAGACTGTTAGATTGGATAGCATTTCAGATGGAAAGATATTTTTGGTAAAGTTTTTTTTTTGAGAGAGAATCTCACTCTTTCATCCAGGCTGGATTGTCGTGGCACGATCATGGCTCACTGCAGCCTTGACCTCCCAGGCTCAAGCGATCCTCCCACCTCAGCCTCCCAAGTAGCTGACACTACAGGTGTGCACTACCATGCCCAGCTTACTTATTTATTTATTAGAGACAAGGTCTCACTTCAGATAAGGTTTCTGATTGTATTGTTCTAATCTGTATTCTTGGTATGTTTTTGGGTGTGTTTTTTTTTCCTGTCAGATATTTTAAAATTATTTCTGTTTATTGTAGATATGCCTTTTTCTCTTTTTGTTTTTTTTTTTCAGTTTTTGCATTATACAGTTTGAAACCGTGTTATTAGGAGCACCTAATATTTATATTTTGTTGGTTTTTTTTAATCATTG